GATGACACAGCCATTTAGCCATCTGTGTTCTCTTACGCTAAATTACATGAAGACCAGGACCACTGTGTTCCCAGCACCTGGCACAGGGTAGGCATTCAATAAAAGTATGTTAAATGGATAGATGGGTGGATGGATGGGTGGATGGATGGGTGGATGGGTGGGTGGATGGGTGGGTTGGTGGCCTCAGACCCTTCAGATATTGCCTCAAGGATCTCTCTGGCCCAGCCAGCTACTGGTAGTCTAAACATCACCGTAGAGGAGGCAGGCGAGAAGGAAAGAGAAGGGGCTATCCACAGTCTGTAAATATGTCCCCCAACCCAGTCACAGATGTGTTCTAATGATGACCCCTCTGCGCTGCAGAAAGTCATCGCCCTCACGTAAGCTTTCTCCACTCAAAAATGAGGCAGCTGAGTTCATTCAGGCCAGAGCCCCGCCTCGCCCACGGAACGCACATATTAGCTACAGGAAAGAAGGAAGAGAAGGTACAGGGATGCTCCCTCTGCCAGGATGTGGGGGGGGGGGGTTCAGGGAAGGACATGCTCAGAGGACCACCGCTCAGGACTTGAAGAGACTGAGGGATCCAAGAGCTGAGAAAATGAAGAAAGGTCAGGATAAGCCCCTGCATTCCCTCTTACACTGGGGCACGTACACTGGGAACACTTGTTTTCCTCGCTCTTACCAGACTCGGAAGGAGAGTGAAATTTTGGTACGCCTGGGAGGATTTGTTACCCAGGCCTTCTCTGAACTCTCTTGGTTGCTTTTACTGTCACACCTAAAGAGATGCTGATTTCTCCTGGGATTTCTGTGGGAACAGGCCACATTACGCCTGATAGCATAAGCAGGACAAGCTGCCAGTAATGCCTTCCAGGATTGGTTAATTCTCCACCTCTTGGTCTTATGAAGGTGGGAAAAGTGGATAGAAGGGAGAATGGAAATTTAAGAGGCAGGAAGGAGTTGCTGAAACTTCTGCTTCCTGTCTTTGAATACCATGAGGGAGCTCACAGCCAGGTTCAAGACCCAGAGAGAGCAAGATGGAAGGCTCCAGAAAGGGCTGGTATAGAAACATTCTGATGATATAGGCAGATGAGTTAGTTGAAAGAGCCCTGAAGGGGGAAGCAGAATGTCCACATTCTGCCTTCATTTTGGGCTGGCCAAACGTCATGTTGTCTCCTCCTCTATCTACACAATGGGACAGTGGCAGCAGCAGATCCTTCCAGTGCTGTCCTCCTATTTTGAGTGGTTAAGGAGTCTAGAAATGACCTGTAGGTCTCAAAAAATGTCATTATATAGCAAGGAGTCCATGAAGGTTTGCCACTGGTAATTAAAGGAGGCATTGGCACAGACAATTCTTTCTGTTTCAGATGGTTCCATTCAGGTACTGCACTGAAAGAGGGGGATGGGACCAGATAATCAGACAGCAACTGAGATTCCTTTGCTACCACATCAATCCCTAGAAGACAGTGGGGATACGAGGGACAATGGGAAGGAAGCAAGAAATGAAAGAGGATGAAGAAAACAAGAGTCCTATAAGTCAAAAGAAAAAAACACTGTCCATGTGGGCAGTGCATTGGCAAGAAGAAGATGGCGGAAGGGTGGAACAAGACTGCAAGGAGGCCAAAGCGGATCAGGGAATCATCAACTGATTAGCTGATGAGGGAAGCTAGGCGGGGAGGCCTGTAGAGTGACATACTAGACTTACTCGGTCTCCTGGCTGGAGAGTAAATCATCAATTCAGTTGTGCAGATGCTAGTGGACAGGGCTGGACAGTCGAAGTGGTACTAAACCCAGAGCCTGGGTGGAGCCAGCTGACATGGAGGACAAAGGAGGAAAAAAACCAGAAGTTATAACGGGCGAAGGAGAGTCAGAGAGCCTGGAAGATGTGTCTGAAGAAGCAGCAGCATGGATCGTGGTTCAGGAGCTGTCAGGTGACACCTGCATTTGGTGACCCTGGGCTGCTTTGGAAGCATGCAGATCCTCCGCTGAGGGTAGTGTCTGGCGCTCCAGAGATGGCTCTAGTTGTAGAGGAGGAGGTGAGAGCTGATGGGCATGAGGGACCAGAGCTATCGGAGGCAGAGGGGATGGAAGTAGAAATCTCTGGTTTGGCAGAATGACTACTGGTGTCTATGACTCACCTGAGGTTTAGATATTTGTCCAGAGGTGACTGGGATTGAAGAGGAAAGGATGGGGCTTGATGAGGACAATGGCCTAAGAGCTGTTATAGTATTGGGAGCATCGATGAATCAGTTGTTTTGGAGAGATAAATGGTAGCGGTGAAGCACTGAATTCCTCAAATGGTAGAATGAGGGCAACAGGCCAGAACCTCACAAGGACGTGGAACCCATCAAGAGTGGCCAAGGAGGTATCAACAGCAAAAGTAGAACCAGGCAAATCAGAAATGGCCGCGTAGAGAGTTGAGTGTGATGGAAATTGTCACAGATTGTCCAGAGACCAAAATGGTGGAGAATTCTTCAGGACTTCACGTGGAACAGCATTTTTATTGGCCGTGGTGGCAGAGGGAAGAGTTGAACCAAAGAGTAAAACAAATCTAATGTTTTGTGTAGCTAGTGGGTACTCTGGGATGGGATGTGGGTGTTTGCCCAGAGATCAGGGTAGCAGAAATTAATTCACCAGGACCAGATGGGAAAGAATTTGTGTTCCCAGTGGTATAGAAGGTACCTGGTGGATCTGTAGGATCTGATGAATCTGAGAGGGTTGTGGAGGGGCGGGTTCCACAGTAAAGGGCAAATGTATTTCTTCATCTCCAACTAGAGTAGAAATGATTCTCCTGAACTTGAATTCCATTTGGGAAGGGTGACATAGGAGGTCACTCAAGGATGGGCCTGCAGGATGGACAAACCCTCCTGGGAGAATTCCAGTTGTCTGCACCAAGGTGTCAGGGCCAGCACTTCCATCTTCTCTGGTAGAGAAGGTTCCAGAGGAAAGGGTCGATTCAGACAAATCACACCTGCTTCTGAATACAGAGTTTGATCCAGTGGGATTTGCAGCACTCATGTGTCCAGTGGCCAGGGTATTGGTAGAAAATATGACAGGACTGATGGGGTAGAAGCACTTGTTCTACAGGGAGAGGCTGTGTTTTGATGACTCTGAGATGGCTGAGGAGATGGTAGGTTCCTCCAGAATGGACGTGTCTGACGGCCCTTCATCTCCACACTAGGACATTGTCCACTCCTGCTACTTCCAAACACACTTCTGCTTGTGGTGAGCTCAGTCAGCAGGTCTGCAGGAACAGCCTCAAAGGGCCGGGTTTGGAGGGGGGTACACTCCAGGATGGCTGCCGAACAGCTGTGGGAACTTGTGCAGTAGATTTCTGAACTCCCATCTGCCCCTAGAAATGTCTACCCTGCTCCCTCGAGAATAATCTACAAGAGAAGCCAGGTGGAGACCTGGGATGTCTTCAGTCACGCAGCCCTGGATGTACCTTCAGCCCTGCTACTAAGGCCTGTGTTCCACCCAGCAGACATCAGCAGGGAGTGCAACCTGGCTAGGGCACGTCGGCTCCTCCAGGACCCTACCCCAAGCCCCAACCCACTGTCGTGAGTGGAGAGGCTTCCTGGCTTTCCAGTGTCAGCAAGCAATGCCGCCTTGCACCTACCTACATCTCCCTGGTTGCTGCCAAAGCATGGTATAGTAGATTGACTGTGTGCCCCCAAAAGCTATATTCAAGTCGTCAGAGCCAGTTCCTGCCTAGGTCTTACTGGTAAATAGATCCCTGCATAACTGAGGTGAGGATCTCAAAATCAGATTGTCTTGAATTTAGGGGGCCCTAAGTCCAAATACTGGCATCCTAATAAGAGAAAGGAAGAGACTGAACACACACACACAGATGGCCACGTGAAGACAGAGCCAAGAAGACCAGGAGGCACCAGTAGCTGAAGGAGGCAAGGAAGCCTCCTCCCCTAAGAGTCAGGAGGGCCCTGCTGATACCTTGATTGCCGACCTCCAGCTTCCACAGCTGTGAAAGAATAACCTTCTGCCGTTGAAGCCACCACGTTGGTGGTGGAGGTGATTTGCTGCAGCAACCCTGGAAACGCGCACGTGGGCAGCCCCAGTCAGTGAGTGGTGAGGAAGGTGAACTGGGGAGCCACACGGCTTGGCCTCGAATCCTGGCTCCTCCACTCAACGGGTGGGTGACCTTGAACAACTGGTTACTATCCCTGTGCTTTGCTTTCCCCAGGTATAAAACAGAAATAAGTAACAGCACATTTTTTCTAGGTCAGTAGAGTTAAATGACGAAAAAGACATTACTGAGAACAGCGCCTGGCACATAGTAGGCCCGCAGTGAGCATCAGCAGTACCCAGACCCCAGCATCAGAGTCACTTCCCAAGTGCCTATACCCTCAGGGCTTCGATGATCAACATTCGGCGCTCTCTGGAACTCAGAGAGCAGTTATGCAGTTATGCACGGCTGTGTTCGCTGAATGAGTAGGTTTCTTTACTCGCTGAGCAAAACAGCACTTCCCGTTCATTGCTTGGTGCTTACATCACACACCTTCCAAAGGTGCCGCTTCACCTACTGGGGGCAAATCTGTTCTCACCGTCACCCACTCTTACCTCACTTTATACATATTGAACATGTCCTTTCCCAGGACCCCAACAAAGACCTCATCTGTCACCCCGACCACCACAGGCCTGGAGAAGGCCCAGGCTCCAGGCATGGCAGGTCCTGATGTAAGTATATTGGCCTTCTGAGATTAGGGGGTCAAGGTCCCTGACCATCTTCCTCCAGGCCCAAGCCCCCAACATCACAGGTGGCAAATCCACCCAGCACCCCCACTCACTGATGGAGAAGCTCCTCTGCTCCACCCACTCCCTAAGAAAGTGGGTCCCCCATCTGTGTTCTCTGTGGGGGCAGTTGTGGCCCCGGATGGCTGCCCACAGGTTCTTTCTTTCCTTTCAGGCCCTCCTAGGCCTCCTACTTTTCATCCAGAAGCCCCTGTTCTCCACCCAAGGGAAAGGAAGACATGCAGCAGCCTCTTGTACAATAAATGCTGTATTTTGCTCACAGGGAGAACTGGCCACCCGCTGGCTGCCTGTCCCTAAAGGGCACCTTCCTACAAAGAAAGTTAAGGACTGGTGGGCTCAGAGAACACTGCAGGGCTGGGGTGAGGATGGAAGAGGAAGGGGGAGGAGGAGCAGGAACAGGGAAGGAAATGGGAAGGGAAGGGAGAGCTAGGGAGAATCAGGGGAACCTAACCCACCTCAGGGCCCCACTTCTCATCCTTGGGACCCAGGACAACCCACGTCCCACTCCCACCCATGTCCCACTCCCACCCAGGGTGACTCAGGGGTGTTTATGGGGGAGAGGAAGGGATGAAGCTTCAAAATAGGGCCAGGGCTTGGGGAGCACCAGTTAGGGGGGTCCTAAGATGCAGAGGGTATCTGTGTCTAGCTAAGGACAGGGATATGAGGGGAGGAGGGGGGATTTAGGACTGGGGCACTGGAGGGAGGGGTAGAGATTTAGGGCAGAGGGAAGGGGAGATTAAGGAAAATGGAGGAGATTTGGGGCTGAGGTCTGGGCTATACGGGATGATTTAAGGAATCGGTCGGGGGGAGAAGGTTTAAGGATAGGAGCAAGGGAGGCAGCGCTGAGTTACATAAGGAGCGACGGGGGCTGCGGGCTGGCTACAGGGATGCTCACAGGAAACCAGAAACTGAGGTCTGAGTCTGGGCAGCGTGTGGGGTTTGGGGATCTGAGAGAGGCCATTAAGCACAGAGTGGAGACTGGAAGGTGGGCTGGGACAGAACTGATGAGTACATCTGGTCTGCATGGTTACAAGGATCAGGACAGCTGTGCCAGTTTACAGGTGACTGGCCTAGGGTTCCACAGCAGGAGAGCTCGGATTGGAACTGGGTTTCCAGGTGGATTTCACTCTAGTAGGAGAAGCATGGGTCAGGGCATGGTCTGGTTTTGCCCAAGGAAGCCAGGAGTCAGCTGCGCGAGTCTGGGCCATCTCTAGTAATGAAGGCAGAGCAGAGAGCTCCTGCCCACCATCTGGGCAGGGTGGAGGGGAAGTGAATCTGCCCCTTCAGGGCTCACAGCCAGGATGAGGTCACCTCGGGTCTCTGGATGTGCACCTGCCAGAGTGCGTGAGAAAGGGAGTGAGAACAGGGGCCATCTGCTGGTGTGGGCCGGAGGTGACTGCCTCCTGGTGTGGCCCATGCCCCTGGCCTGCCCTTTGCCCTCTCACCTTGACACTGGTGTCCACTGTCTCCAAGGCCACCTGGGTATTTTCCTGGTTGACTACAGAGAGAGAAAAGAGGGGTGAGAAGGGAACAGGGGAGAGGCGCACAGGGGAGGGAAGGAGAGGTGAGGAAGGCAGGGCCTCCAGGGCTCCTAAGCACCTGCGAGGGCCAGGACCTTCCTCAGCAGGGGCCTGGGGAGGCATAACCAAGCTCCCTGGCCCGAGGGGGAAGCTTGTCCTGGGCTAGGGAGATTGTCCCGTCCCACCCCAGCCTCAGCGGTGCCCAGAGCAGCCCTTGCCCACGTTGGCCAGAAGGAAACACTCACCTGTTCCTTCATCCTCGAAGCCCAGGTTTGTAAAAGTCCCAACGCTGCCCTCATCCCACGTGTCAAACCACGTCTCGTCCTTGTCCAATGCCCTGGGTTGGGATACCAGCGGTCAGGGGGGCCAGCCCTCGGGGCACCCCCTGACCACACCACCTCAGCCCCAGCCTGCTCACCAGCCTTTGCCTTGGCGGCCTCTCTGCTGAGAGCGCGAGCGCGCGAGGTAGACGCTCACCAGCGCCACCAGGAGCAGCAGCAGCAGCGCCCCGACGGCCGCCAGGCTCCCGACCAGCGTCCTCCAAGGGACGGCCACCTCGCAGCGCGGCCCCGAGAGCCAGTGTGTGTCGGTAGAGAAGCACCTAGACCAAGAGGTCACAGGTCACAGACCCCTCCCTTCCCGGGGTCAGCTCCACCGGGGGGCCACAGCCAGGCCCACCCGGCAGAATCGCCTACTGGGCGGGGGGCGGGGCGGCGGAGGGACAGGAGTTTGGGGGCTGGAGAGGCGGGGTGCGGGGGGGAGGGGAGCGGGGTAGGCGCGGGGGGGGGGTGGGCTGGGTGGGCGCGGCCTGATGACGGCATGTTGGGCGGAGCTCCGTCCGGGCAGTGGGCGGGGCCTCACCGACAGGTAGGCCCGGTCCTCTCCAGAACGCACTGGCCCTGGTTACAGTCCAGCGTGTGGTCCAAGCCCGACGTACAGTTGGTGACGCAGCGGAGCCGTTTCTCCTCCACCAACGGGAAGTAGAAATCCTCAAAGCCCTCGGCAGCGGCTCGGCGACAGATGGCTGCGGGGTGAGTAGAGAGTTGCAGAGAAAGAGACCTGAATCCACTACTCAGCCGTGCAAAGACTGCATTAGCGATGGCGGGTGGGTGCGCAAGTCCCCCGGAACCCTCACCCACTGCTCACCTTCCCAGACTGCGCCCAGGTGGAAGCTACTGAAGGGCCGGAAAGGGCGTCCCGCGTGGGCTACATCACTGGCCTCCCCCAAAGGGTTCCCCCTGCTCCCCAGGGAGCTTCAACGGGCACATGTCCCCAGTCGGTGGGGTCATGGACACCTTTACCCTTTACCTTGAGGGCTCACTGACGAGCTGACGCTGTCGTTCACCTTGATGGAGTCAGGCTTAAAACACAGGCCTAGAGAGACAAAGGCACAAGTGAAATTGGAGGAGGGGTACAAGGAGTGAGGCCAGGAGAGCAGGGTTGGTGTGGGGAGGGCCAGAGGGCTTCTGTCACCATGGGGGAGTGTGGACCAGTCACAAATGAGGTTCCTTTGATGTCCCTGGTCACCCCTGAATTATCAAGAGTCTTAGGTCATTCCAAAAACCTTGAAGAGAACCGCCAGGGACCTCCTTCCCAGCACCCAGGTTCTGGCAAGCACCTCCTTAGCCCCATCCTTGACCCAGCTGACTGTGGACACCTCTCGTGTCTCCTGGAGGTACCAGAAGGCCCCTGTCTGTGCTGGGATAGTCTAGGACAGTGGCTGTGACCCTAATCCCTCCCTCCAGCCTGGGGTCCCCAGCCTTGCTCACTCTGGTCGTTGCAGCCATTCTCCTCCAGGCTGGAATGTTGGAGCTCCTCCCTGAGCAATGTCTTCATCTTCTCATATTCGCTCTCCAGCTGGGGGCTGAAGGGCATCTCCAACAGGACCAGGTAGTCCACCACGATGCTGCCATTCCTGAATGGATGAGGGGATCAGAAAGCCTTAAGCGTGCCCAGACATGAGACCCATTGATCCCCAGACGAGCATCTTCAGCACCAACAAATAGTGCAGGGCAAGAGGAGGTTGTGGAAAGAAGGAGGCAGAAGCAGTGTGTTTGGATTCCAGACACGTTATGTTCAGAAGGGGCTGCCAGCTTCACTGATTGGCAGCTTGACATGGTAGGACCAGGAATGACTGACAGTCTCCTGCACTGCATCAAGCCATTACCAAACTAGGCCCCTGGGCCCTCTGCCAACCAGAGAGACCAGCTACTGTCCAGAGAGAAGGCTTCCCATCAGCCCTCATGCACCATCTCTCCACATGTCTTATGCAATCTTGTATTTCCTCTGTGCTTAAAGAGGAGCAGGGGCGTCCCTCCTACAGAGAGACAGATCCAGGAAATGATTGCACGATTCCCCATATAGTGATCTGCTTGCATCCTCACTCTACCCTAGTCTTTATGAAATATGAAAATTTCAAAAGTGCAGGATGAGGTCTCCAATCTTCCCTCCATCCCCTTCCCCTCCTGACATACCTCCACAGCCCAGAGATGTGTCCTACCTCAGGGACAGGATCTCCACACCCTTGAACTCTGTCACATTTTGATAAATCTTCTGCATCTAAAACAACAAGGATTCTGGGCTCATGTTTGAATCTCCAGGTATGAGGGTAGCAGCGCCAAGCTCAGCGCCTAGAGAAGACCCTTGAGTTCCCTCCCTCGTCCCTCACCTGAGCCTGGAAGGTGTTGTTGAAATCCTCATAGGCCTTGGAAGTGTTGTCGTTGAGGTCCGAGGAGAACTCCTGGTCCACAGACACCTCCATGCCCACTTCAGCCTGCACAGTGTCTGCACAAGTATGTCCAGCTCTGGTCACCTCACTGTCAGTTCCTGTCTGATATCACCAGCACCCCAATCCAGGGGCTCCCCACTGGCCCCTATCCTAGTTTCCTGAGGACTTACTGGACGGCACACAGGAGAGAGGTGGGAATTCTGGGATGAGTTCTCTCAAGATGAAGGAAACAAAGGAAGTCAGGTCATCAAAATCTGCCTATGGTCACTCCCTGTCTGCTCCAGTGGGAGCCAGCATAGTGGCTCCATGGCTGCCTGTGTCCTAATCCCCAGAATTTATGTTACAGTACAGGACAAGCAAAATCAAGATTGCTGATGGAATTAAGATCACTAAATTCTTAAAGATTACAGAATGGTGAAGACAGAGGGTTCACCTCCCCACAGATACAACAAATCACCATCTATGTTAAAGAAAATGTTCCTCAAAAAGACCTGAAGACGGGAGCATCAGATTTTCACAACAAAATGTGAAAGAAAATGTCTTTGACTATAGGAAAAGTCAAAATACAGTTTCATCTGGAATGCAACCAGGGCACCATGACCTAAGAGAGGAAGAGACTGCAATGATAAGGAACTTTTGGTGGGGAGAGGGAGGAAAATGGTGACTGAAGGACTTTCCCCTGTACTGGAGACCCTATTACCCTAGGAATTGCACTCGTGAGTTGCAGAAAATGGAAGGCCTCATTCTGGAAAACAATAGGACTGTGGAGGGGGGTCAGTGATCTGTGGCTGAGCCAGGGCCAGAGAGCAAAACATCCCACATGTCTGAGGCTGTGCGGTGGGTGAGAAGATTCACCAGAGACAGAGTGGGGAACAGAACAGGCAGACTGAAATACACTGCTGAGGGGAGTAGTGGGCGAGACAGGAGAGGTCTGCTGCACCATGTGGGTAGCTCCCTCGCTGGGGAGCGAACTCTCATGCTACTGAGGCTGCAGATAGATTCGTAGTGCTGTGCTTAACCCCTTGTGCCACCAGGGAGGCCCTCCAATGTTATCTTTTAAGGAAATGGAAAAATAATTCTAGGATTTATATGGAATTAAATAGCTAAGAGACCCCAAATAGCTAAGGCAATCTGGAGAAAAAAGTAAGAAATATAGAAGTGTCACAATACCTCACTTCAAACTATACTGTAAATCAACAGAAATTAAAACAGTATGGTATTGAAATAAAAATGGACACATGGCTCAGTAGAATAGACTCAAGTACCCAGAAATAAGCCACACATATATAGACAGTTAATCTGTGACATAACTGTACAATGGAGAAAGGAAAAACTCTCCAACGCATATTGTTGGGAAAACTGGACAGCTACATGCAAAAGAATGAAATTGGACCACTCTCTAACTCCATACACACAAATAATTAAGAATGGATTAAGGGGAACCTCCCTGCTGGCACAAGGGGTTAAGCATCAGTACCATGGGGCAATCTGCAACTACTGCAGCACAGGTTCGATCCCCAGCCAGGGAGGTGACCCACATGGTGCAGCAGACCTCTCTTGTCTCGCCCACTGCACCCCTCAGCAGTGTATTTCAGTAAACCCACCTATTCTGCTCCCCACTCTATCTCTGGTGAATCCTCTCACTCCCTGCACCGCTGCCCTATACCCCAGTTCTCGTATGCATAAATAAATCTTAAAAAAAAGAAGGGATTAAGGACTTGGATGTCAGTTCTAAAATATAAAATACATGATATCTGCTATAGATATGGCTATAGGAACTCAACCACAGCAAAAGAAATGAAAGCAAAAATAAATGAGACTATATCAAATTTTAAAAAGCTTCTAAACAGCAGAAGTCAGTAGAGAGCACAACAGCCTACTCAATGAGAGATTAGCACATCTTATATCCAATAAAGGGCTAATACATCAGGTATATAAAGAACTAATACAATACAACAACAACAACAAAAATAAAAAGCAAACAAAATGGGGGCTGAAGATCTGAGTGAACGTGAGACTTACCCAAAGAGGGCATAGAGATGGCCAAAGCACGAGAAAATGTTCATTGTCAATATTAGGGAAATGAACATCAAAACCACTAGTAACATTTTAGAGATGATGTGGAGTGGAAAAAACCCTCATGCTGTTGGTGGGGATGTAAATTGGTGAATTTCAGAAAACAGCATGGAGCTTCCTCCAAAAAGTAAAAATCAAACTACTGTATGACTGAGCAATCTCACTCCTAGGTATATACCTGAAGAAAAGAAATCATTAACTCAAGAGTTGGAGGCACCCCTATGTTCATCGTGGCACTATTCACAATAGCCAAGAAATGGAAACAACCTAAGTGTCTTTCGATAGATGAGTAGATAAAGAAGATGTGGTATATATACACAGAAGAATACTATTTGGTGATAGAAAGATGAAATTTTGCCATTTACAGCAAAGTAGAAGGAACTTGAGGGGATTATGTTAAGAGAAATAAGTCCAACGGAGAAGGAAACATTGGATGATTTGCACCTATATTTGGAAAAAGGAAACAAGGTGGATGAACATATGAAACATTTAAAAACAGAGGATTCTGACAGTAAAGGTTACCAAAGGGGAAGGGTAGAGGAGTAACATGGAGGGGATCCAAAGGATGAGTTTTTTTTTTTATATTTTGTTTATGAAGTTTTTTTAAAAGAATGCAAATCCACTGACTTTGAGAGGGGAAAATTAACACTGATTATCCAGGTGGGCCCAGCACAATCACAGGGGTCCTTAACAGAGGAAGACGGAGGCAGGAGAAGACAGAATCAGTCAGGTGAAGATGTGACCCAGTCAGGTGAAGATGTGACCATGGAAGAAAGACACAGAATGGGCGATTACTGGCTTTGAGGATGGAGAGAGGGGACTTAGAGACAAGGAATGTAGAAGGCTCCAGACTTGGAAAGGGAGAAGAAATGGATTCTCCTTTAGGGTCTATGGAAAGAAGCACAGCCTACTGACACCTTGATTTTAGTTCGACAAAACCCACGTCAGACTGCTAAATATCCATAAAGAGATAATAAATTTGCATTGAAGGTTTGTGGTGATTTGTACAGCAGCATTAGAAATTAAAAACCCTGGGCCTCCCCCGTGGCGCAGCGGTTGAGTGCTGGGTTGCGAAGCTGCCCGCAGCCTCTGCAGGGCGGGTTCGATCCCCGGCTGCTCCCCAGCCACCGGAGGAGGGTCCCGCATGGCGCGCAGACCTTTCCTGCCACCCGCTGCTCCCCTCAGCAGTGTACTTCAGTCCTTCTGCCTCTTCTGCTCCTCGCTCTGGCTCTGGTGAATTCTCTCACTCTCCCGCGCCTCTGACTGTACCCAGTGCTTGTATGTATAAATAAATAAATAAATAAATCTTTAAAAAAGAAATTAAAAACTCTTAATGAAGTCCAAACCAGGAGGCGGTGTCAAAAAAGGCCCAGCCACCTCCTTGTCATAAGGGCAGAAAGAGGAATGATCTAGGCTCCTGGAAACAAAGGCAGGGATGGCTAGATAAGCCAAGATGGCTTGGAGGCCAAGGGGCCTCCTAGTCAACCAGATTGGGCCCAGGAGTGTCACTGTGATTTCCCAGGAGAAACTGCAGAGGGAAGGGCTCTGGGAACTCACCTAGCTCCATCTGTTCCACAGCCAACTCACAGCGGGTTCCATAGAAGGTGCTGGGACACTGGCACTTAAGGCCATCCCATTTACCCCCATTCAGGCACTTGATCTCCTGCAGTTCACAGTGGTCCCCAGAGAATTCTGGGGGGCAGAGGCAGCGGTCCTGCATCCAAGTGCCACCATTGTCACAGGTACCTAGGCAGCACAGGAAGAAAAGGAAGTTCAGGACAGGGCCTGACCTTGGTAACATGGGAATTTAGCAGGGGAAGGAGGAGAGAGGCCAAAGGCAAGAAGTCCAACCTGGAGTAGTAGTCAGCCGAGACTGGGTGGTCATCTTAGTAGTGGTAGAAGTGGTCCTGGATGATGTGAGGGTAGTGGGAGACTGAGTGGTGCCCACCGTTGTCTCTGGACTCCTGGTGGTGGGTGAGGTGGGACTTGTCACCTTGCTTGAAGTCATTACAGCAGTTGTAAGGTTGCTGCTTGGTGTTGTAGTCAGTGGGGGACTAGTGAAATTCGGCACATGGGGCGTGGTTACAAAGTCAGTACTTGTCCAGGTCCCACTGGTGGGGCTCTGTGTGCTCATCACAAGGGTGCTACTGGGAATGCCCCCAGGGGTGATGGAACTGGGAGCATCTGTTGTAATGGTAGTTGGGCCAATTGTGGGAACTGAAGTAGAAGCTTCCGAATGTGCAGGAAATGTACATGTGATGGCAGAACTAGAGGAGGCCAATTCAGTAGTAGAGGTAAAGAATGATGCTGGGAGAGTAGACATTGAAGTAACCTCACTACTACGTTCCGTCTCTATACAAATGGTGGTGGGAGAAGTAGGGACTATTGTAACTGATATGAACTCTGGACATGGGGTAGTAGAAAGAGTAGTAATAAAAGGTGTGCTGGTTGTTTCAGTAAAACTAGAGCTTGTATCAGGGGAAGTTGGAGAAGTTCTACTAGTAAAAGAGTGTGTGGGAGTGGCCATGGAAGTGACAGAGGACGATGGAGTTGCTGTACTGGTCATAGGTTGAGAAGTAGAGTAAGTGGTACTGGTAGCTATAGATGTAACACTGGTGAAAGACACAGTTGGGGAGGTAACCATTGTGTGTGGGGAGGAGGGAATGATGGTACTAGAAGATGTAGTTATTGCACTAGTACTAGTACGCATATAAGGAATAGGTGGTAGGAGTTTAGGGTTCTGAATATTGGTAAATGCAGCTGTAGGAGCTGTGCTGGTCATCAGAGTACTGGTAGATGTGGTCATAATACTGGTCATAGTAGTAGCTGTTGTCAGGGTTGTGGAGACTGTGATCGTGGGAAGGGTATTGGTGATGGGTGTTGTCTTAATGGTGGTGGATGTGGTCATTGGAGTGATCTTGGTGTTGGTATTCAAGGTGGTGGTGGATGTGATAGTAGGTGGGGTCTTGGTTGTGTTGGTTGGTATTGTGATGGAAGTGGTAATGGGAGGGGTCTTAGCAGTGGTAGTTGAGGTTGTGGTGGATGTGGTAGTTGGTGGGGTCTCAGTTGTGGTGGTTGTTTTGGTTGTGGTGGATGTGGTGGTGGAAGGGGAGGTAGTGGTTGTTGGTATTGTGTTGGATGTGGTTGTGGGCGTGGTCTCTATGGTGGTGGTTGTCAATGTTGTGGTGGATGTTGTGGTAGTGGGAGGAGGTTCTGTGGTAGTGGTAGTTGGGGTTGTGGTCGATATGGTCATGGAAGAGGTTTCAGTAGTGGTGGTGGTTGTCATTGTTGTGGATTTGGTAGTGGGTGTGGTCTCAGTAGTAGTGGTGGTTGTAATTGTGGTAGATATGGGAGTGTGAGGGGGGGTTGTGGTTGTTGGGGTTGTGTTGGATGTGGTAGTTGGCAGGGTCTCCATGGTAGTGGTTGTCAGTATTGTGGTGGATGGTGTTGTGGAAGTTAGTGTGGGTTGTGTGGTAGTGTTAGTTGGAGTCGTGGTGGATGTGGTAGTAGGTGGAGTCTCAGTGGTATTGGTTGTTGGTGTTGTTGTGGGAGGCGAGGTAGTGGTTGTTGGTGTTGTGTTGGAAGTAGTAGTGGTTGTGGTCTCTGTGCTGGTGGTTGTCAGTGTTGTGGTGGATGTTGTGGTAGTGGGAGGAGGTAATTTGGTAGTGGTAGTTGGGGTTGTGGTAGATTTGGTCGTGGAATGGGTCTCAGTAGGTGTCGTTAGTGATGTGGTGGTTGTTGCCATAGTTGGTGGTTCTATGGTTGTGGTAGTTGTGGTTGTGGTGGATGTGCTAGTTGGTGGGGTCTCAGTACTGGTGGTAGTTTTAGTTGTAGTGGATGTGGTAGTGAAAAGGGAGGTAGTGGTTGTTGGTAATGTGTTGGATGTGGTAGTGGGTGTAGTCTCTGTGGCGGTTGTTGTCAGTGTTGTCATGGATGTTGTGTTGGGAGTAGGAGGGGGTTCTGTAGTAGTGGTAGTTGGGATTATGGTAGATGTGATAGTGGTTGGGGTCTCTACAGAGGTGGTTGTCCGTGTTGTTGTGGTAGTGGTCGTGGGTGGGAGTTCTGTGGTGGTAGTAGTTGAGCTTGTGGTGGATGTGGCAGTGGGAAGGGTCTCTGTGGTTATCAGCGTTGTGGTGGATGTTGTTGTGAGAGGGGTTTTCGTGGTTGCCATTGTTGTGGATGTGGTAGTGGGTGTGGTCTCAGTAGTGGTGGTGGTTGTAGTTGTGGTGAAAGTAGTAGTTTTAGAGGATGTATTGGTTATTGGTGTTGCAGTGGATGTGGTAGTAGGCGGGGTCTCTGGGGTGGAAGTTGTCAGTGTTATGGTGGATGTGATAGTGGGATGTGAGATAGTTGCTGGTGTTGATTTGGAAGTGGTTGAGGACGTGGTAGTGGTGGTTTTGGTTGTGGGTGGGGTCTCAGTCATGGTGGTTTTAGTTTTGGTGGATGTGGTATTATGACAGGAGGTTGTGGTTGTTGGGGTTGTGTTGGATGTGGTAGTAGATGGGGTCTCCATGGTAGTGGTTGTCAGTATTGTGGTGGATGTTGTTGTGGAAGTTGGAGTGGGTTGTGTGGTAGTGGTAGTTGGTGTCATGGTGGATGTGGTAGTAGGTGGGGTCTTAGTAGTGGTGGTTGTCAGTGTTGTGGTTGCTGTTGTTGTGGGATGTGAGGTAGTGGTTGTTTGTGTTATGCTGGAAGTGGCAGTGGGCATGGTCTCTGTGGAGGTTGTTGTCAGTGTTGTGGTAGATGTTGTGGTTGGAGTAGAAGTGGTTTCTGTAATAGTGGTAGATGTCAATGTGGTAATGGTAGTGGTCTCAGTGGTGGATGTTGGGCTTATGATGCATGTGGTAGTAGAAGGGGAGGTCGTGGTTGTGGGTGTTGTGTTGGAAGTTGTAGTGGGTGTGGTCTCTGTGGTTTTGGTTGTCAGTGTGGTGGTGGATGTGGTAGTAGGAAGAGTTTCTGTGGTAGTGGTAGTTGTGGTCATTGTGGTTGTGGAAGGGTTCTCTGTGGTGTTAGTTGTAATTCTTGTGGTGGTTGTTGTATTGGGAGATGTTTCTGTGGTAGTGGTCATTGTGGATTTGGTGGATGTGGTAGTAGGCAGGGTATCAGAAGTGATGATTGTTGTCATTGTTGTGGATGTGTTAGTGCTCTCAGCAGTGGTTGTTGTGTTTGTGGTGGGTGTGGTAGTAGGAGGGGAGGTAGTGGTTGTTGGTGTCGTGTTGGAAGTGGAAGTGGGTGTGGTGTATGTGGTGGTGGTTGTCAGTGTTGTGGGGTATATTGTGGTAGTGGGGGGAGGTTCATTGGTAGTGGTAGTTGGGGTTATGTTAGATTGGGTGGTGGAAGAGGTCTCAGTAGGTGTTGTTGTCGATTTTGTGGTGGTAGTTGTAGTGGATGGGGGTTCTGTGGCAGTGGTAATTGAGGTTGTGGTGGATGTGGTAGTTGTTGTGTTCTCAGTAGTGTTGATTGTTGTGGTTGTAGTGGATGTGGTAATAGAAGGGGAGGTAGTAGTTGTTGGTACTGTGTTGGATGTGGTAGTGGGCATGGTCTCTGTGGTGGTTGTTGTCAGTGTTGTGATGGATGTTGTTGTTAGAGTTGAAATGGTGTCTGTAATAGCGGTTGTTGGGATTGTGGTGTATGTGGTAGTGGGTGTGGTCTCTGTAGAGGTGGTTGTCGGTGTTGTGGTGGTAATGGTCGTGGGTGGGCGTTCTGTGGTGGTAGTAGTTGAGCTTGTGATGGATGTGGCAGTGGGAAAGGTCTCTATGGTTGTTAGTGTTGTGGTGGATGTTGTTGTGTGAGGGGTTTTTGTGGTTGTCGTTGTTGTGGTAGTGGGTGTGGTCTCAGTAGTGGTGGTGGTTGTATTTGTGGTGAAAGTAGTAGTTGCACTGGATGTAGGGGTTCGTTGTGTTGTCGTGGATGTGGTAGCAGACAGGGTCTCTGTGGTGGAAGTGGTCAGGTTTGTGTATGTTGTTGTGGGAAGGGTTTCGGTGATAGTGGGAGAAGTGGTAGTGGTGGTAGTGGGTAGGGTCTCAGTAGTGGTGCTGGTTGTCATTGTTGTGGATTTGGTAGTGGGTGTGGTCTCAGTAGTCGTGGTGTTTGTAGTTGTGCTGGATGTGGTAGTGTGAGAGGTGGTAGTGGTTGTTGGGGTGGTGTTGGATGTGGTAGAATGTGGGGTCTCCATGGTAACGGTTGTCAGTATTGTGGTGAATGTTGTTGTAGAAGTTGGAGTGGGTTTTGTGGTAGTGGCACTTGGTGTCATGGTGGATATGGTTGTAGTTGGGGTCTCAGTAGTGGTGGTTGTCGGTGTTGTGGTGGCTGTTGTTGTGGGGCGGGAGGTAGTGGTTGTTGGTGTTGTGTTGGAAGTGTTAGTGGGCATGATCTCTGTGGTGGTGGTTGTCAGTGTTGTGTTGGGTGTTCTGGTAGTGGGAGGAGGTTCTGAGGTAGTGGTAGTTGGGGTTGTGGTCACTGTGGGTGTGGAAGGGGTCTCGGTGGTGGTGGGTATCATTCTTGTGGTGGTCGTTGTTGTGGGAGGTGTTTCTGTGGTAGTGATTGATGTGGTTTTCGTGAATGTGGTACTTGGCAGGGTCTCAGTGGTGGTGATTGTTGTCATTTTTGTCAATGCAGTAATGGTAGTGGTCTCAGTAGTAGGTGTTGGGCTTGTGGTGGATGTGACAGTAAGAAGTGAGGTAGTGGTTGTTGGTGTTGGGTTGGATGTGGTAGTGGGCATGGTCTCCCTGGTGTAGTTATCAGTGTTGTTGTGGATGTGGTAGTGGGAAGAGTTTCAGTGGTAGTGGTAGTTGGGTTTGTGGTCATTGTGGTCGTGGAAGGGGTCTCTGTGGTGGTAGTGGTCATTCTTTTGGTGGTTGTTGTTGTTGGAGATGTTTCTGCAGTAGTGAGTGTTGTGTTTTTGGTGGATGTGATAGTAGGCAGGGTCTCAGTAGTGGTGACTGTTGTCATTGTTGTGGATGTGGTAGTGGTAGTGTTCTCAGTAGTGGTTGTTGCACTTGTGGTGGGTGTGGTAGTAGGAGGGGAGGTAGTGTTTGTTGGTGTTGTGTTGGATGTGGTAGTGGGCATGGTATCTGTGGTGGTGGTTGTCAGTGTTGTGGTGAATGTTGTGGTAGTGGGGGACGTTCTGTGGTAGTGGTAGTTGGGGTTGTGGTCGATGTGGTTGTGGAAGGGGTCTCTGTGGTGGTGGCTGTCGTTGTTGTGGTTGTTGTTGTTGTGGGAGGGTTTCTGTGGTAGTGGTTGTTGGTTTTGTGGTGGCTGTTGTAGTAGGCAGTGCCTCAGTAGTGGTGATTGTTGTCATTGTTGTGGATGTGGTAGTGGTAGTGGTCTCAGTAGTGGTTGCCATTGTGTTTGTTTTGGGTGTGGTAGTAGAAGGGGAGGTAGTGCTTTTTGGTGTCGTGTTGGAAGTGGTATTGGGTGTGGTGTCTGTGGTGGTGGTTGTCAGTGTTTTGGTGGATGTTGTGGGAGTGGGGGGAGGTTCATTGGTAGTTGTAGTCGGGGTTGTGGTAGATTTGGTGGTGGACGGGGTCTCAGTAGGTGTCATTGTCGATTTTGTGGTGGTAGTTGTCATGGATGGGGGATCTGTGGTACTGGTAATTGAGGTTGTGGTGGAAGTGGTAGTTGTTGGTGTCTCAGTAGTGGTGATTGTTGTGGCTGTGGTTGATGTGGTAGTGGACAAAGAGGGTGTGGTTGTTAGTATTGTGTTGGATGTGGTAGTGGGCATGGTCTCTGTGGAGGTAGTTGTCAGTGTTGTGGTGGATGTTGTTGAATTAGAAGTGGTTTCTGTAACAGTGGTAGTTGGGATTGTGGTGTATGTGGTAGTGGGTGTGGTCTCTGTAGAGGTGGTTGTCAGTGTTGTGGTGGTAATGGTCGTGGGTGGGGGTTCTGTGATGGTAGTAGCTGAGCTTGTGATGGATGTGGCAGTGGAAAGGGTCTTTGTCATTGTCACTGTTGTGGTGGATGTTAGTGGAGGCGTTTTCGTGGTTGTCATTGTTGTGGATGTTGTAGTGGGGTTGGTCTCAGTAGTGGTGGTGGTTGTATTTGTGGTGAATGTGGTAGTTGCACTGGATGTAGTGGTTGTTGGATTCATTGTGGATGTGGTAGTAAGCGGGGTCCCTGTGGTGGTGGGTGTCTTTGTTGTGGTGTATGTTGTTGTGGGAGGGGTTTCCTTGGTAGTGGTGGTTGTGGTTGTGGTGGTTGTCATATAGGGTGGGTTCTCAGTAGTGGTGGTGGTTGTCATTATTGTGGATTTGGTAATGGGTGTGGTCTCAGTAGTCGTGGTGTTTGTAGTTGTGCTGGATGTGGTAGTGTGAGGGGAAGTCATGGTTGTTGGGGTTGTGTTGGATGTGGTAGTAGGCAGAGTCTCCGTGGTAGTGGTAGTCAGTATTGTGGTGAATGTTGTTGTAGAAGTTGGATTGGTTTGTGTGATAGTGGTACTTGGTGTCATGGTGGATGTGGTAGTAGGTGGGGTCTCAGTAGTGGTGTTTGTCGGTGTTGTGGTGGATATTGTTGTAGGATGCAAGGTAGTGGTTGGTGTTGATTTGGAAGTGGTTGTGGGCATGGTCTCTGTGGTAGTGGTTGTCAGTGTTGTGTGTGTTGTGGTAGGGAGGAGGTTCTGAAGTAGTGGTAGTTGGGGTTGTGGTCACTGTGGGTGTGGAAGGGGTCTCGGTGGTGGTGGGTATCATTCTTGTGGTGGTGGTTGTTGTGGGAGGTATTTCTGTGGTAGCAATTGATGTGGTTTTCGTGGATGTGGTACTTGGCAGGGTCTCAGTGGTGGTGATTGTTGTCATTTTTGTCAGTGCAGTAATGGTAGTGGTCTCAGTAGTGGATGTTGGGCTTGTAGTGGATGTGACAGTAGGAGGTGAGGTAGTGGTTGTTGGTGTTGGGTTGGATGTGGTAGTGGGCATGGTCTCCCTGGTGGTAGTTATCAGTGTTGTTGTGGATGTGGTAGTGGGAAGAGTTTCAGTGGTAGTGGTAGTTGGGTTTGTGGTCATTGTGGTCGTGGAAGGGTCTCTGTGGTGGTAGTGGTCATTCTTTTGGTGGTTGTTGTTGTTGGAGATGTTTCTGCAGTAGTGAGTGTTGTGTTTTTGGTGGATGTGATCGTAGGCAGGGTCTCAGTAGTGGTGACTGTTGTCATTGTTGTGGATGTGGTAGTGGTAGTGTTCTCAGTAGTGGTTGTTGCACTTGGGTGGGTGTGGTAGTAGGAGGGGAGGTAGTGTTTGTTGGTGTTGTGTTGGATGTGGTAGTGGGCATGGTATCTGTGGTGGTGGTTGTCAGTGTTGTGGTGAATGTTGTGGTAGTGGGGGGACGTTCTGTGGTAGTGGTAGTTGGGGTTGTGGTCGATGTGGTTGTGGAAGGGGTCTCTGTGGTGGTGGCTGTCGTTGTTGTGGTTGTTGTTGTTGTGGGAGGGGTTTCTGTGGTAGTGGTTGTTGGTTTTGTGGTGGCTGTTGTAGTAGGCAGTGCCTCAGTAGTGGTGATTGTTGTCATTGTTGTGGATGTGGTAGTGGTAGTGGTCTCAGTAGTGGTTGCCATTGTGTTTGTTTTGGGTGTGGTAGTAGAAGGGGAGGTAGTGCTTTTTGGTGTCGTGTTGGAAGTGGTATTGGGTGTGGTGTCTGTGGTGGTGGTTGTCAGTGTTTTGGTGGATGTTGTGGGAGTGGGGGGAGGTTCATTGGTAGTTGTAGTCGGGGTTGTGGTAGATTTGGTGGTGGACGGGGTCTCAGTAGGTGTCATTGTCGATTTTGTGGTGGTAGTTGTCATGGATGGGGGATCTGTGGTACTGGTAATTGAGGTTGTGGTGGAAGTGGTAGTTGTTGGTGTCTCAGTAGTGGTGATTGTTGTGGCTGTGGTTGATGTGGTAGTGGACAAAGAGGGTGTGGTTGTTAGTATTGTGTTGGATGTGGTAGTGGGCATGGTCTCTGTGGAGGTAGTTGTCAGTGTTGTGGTGGATGTTGAATTAGAAGTGGTTTCTGTAACAGTGGTAGTTGGGATTGTGGTGTATGTGGTAGTGGGTGTGGTCTCTGTAGAGGTGGTTGTCAGTGTTGTGGTGGTTGTGGTCGTGGGTGGGGGTTCTGTGGTGGTAGTAGCTGAGCTTGTGATGGATGTGGCAGTGGAAAGGGTCTTTGTCATTGTCACTGTTGTGGTGGATGTTGTGGGAAGCGTTTTCGTGGTTGTCATTGTTGTGGATGTTGTAGTGGGGTTGGTCTCAGTAGTGGTGGTGGTTGTATTTGTGGTGAATGTGGTAGTTGCACTGGATGTAGTGGTTGTTGGATTCATTGTGGATGTGGTAGTAAGCGGGGTCTCTGTGGTGGTGGGTGTCTTTGTTGTGGTGTATGTTGTTGTGGGAGGGGTTTCCTTGGTAGTGGTGTTTGTGGTTGTGGTGGTTGTCATATAGGGTGGGTTCTCAGTAGTGGTGGTGGTTGTCATTATTGTGGATTTGGTAATGGGTGTGGTCTCAGTAGTCGTGGTGTTTGTAGTTGTGCTGGATGTGGTAGTGTGAGGGGAAGTCATGGTTGTTGGGGTTGTGTTGGATGTGGTAGTAGGCAGAGTCTCCGTGGTAGTGGTAGTCAGTATTGTGGTGAATGTTGTTGTAGAAGTTGGATTGGTTTGTGTGATAGTGGTACTTGGTGTCATGGTGGATGTGGTAGTAGGTGGGGTCTCAGTAGTGGTGTTTGTCGGTGTTGTGGTGGATATTGTTGTAGGATGCAAGGTAGTGGTTGGTGTTGATTTGGAAGTGGTTGTGGGCATGGTCTCTGTGGTAGTGGTTGTCAGTGTTGTGTGTGTTGTGGTAGTGGGAGGAGGTTCTGAAGTAGTGGTAGTTGGGGTTGTGGTCACTGTGGGTGTGGAAGGGGTCTCGGTGGTGGTGGGTATCATTCTTGTGGTGGTGGTGGTTGTTGTGGGAGGTATTTCTGTGGTAGCAATTGATGTGGTTTTCGTGGATGTGGTACTTGGCAGGGTCTCAGTGGTGGTGATTGTTGTCATTTTTGTCAGTGCAGTAATGGTAGTGGTCTCAGTAGTGGATGTTGGGCTTGTAGTGGATGTGACAGTAGGAGGTGAGGTAGTGGTTGTTGGTGTTGGGTTGGATGTGGTAGTGGGCATGGTCTCCCTGGTGGTAGTTATCAGTGTTGTTGTGGATGTGGTAGTGGGAAGAGTTTCAGTGGTAGTGGTAGTTGGGTTTGTGGTCATTGTGGTCGTGGAAGGGGTCTCTGTGGTGGTAGTGGTCATTCTTTTGGTGGTTGTTGTTGTTGGAGATGTTTCTGCAGTAGTGAGTGTTGTGTTTTTGGTGGATGTGATAGTAGGCAGGGTCTCAGTAGTGGTGACTGTTGTCATTGTTGTGGATGTGGTAGTGGTAGTGTTCTCAGTAGTGGTTGTTGCACTTGTGGTGGGTGTGGTAGTAGGAGGGGAGGTAGTGTTTGTTGGTGTTGTGTTGGATGTGGTAGTGGGCATGGTATCTGTGGTGGTGGTTGTCAGTGTTGTGGTGAATGTTGTTGTAGAAGTTGGATTGGTTTGTGTGATAGTGGTACTTGGTGTCATGGTGGATGTGGTAGTAGGTGGGGTCTCAGTAGTGGTGTTTGTCGGTGTTGTGGTGGATGTTGTTGTAGGACGCAAGGTAGTGGTTGGTGTTGATTTGGAAGTGGTTGTGGGCATGGTCTCTGTGGTAGTGTTTGTCAGTGTTGTGTGTGTTGTGGTAGTGGGAGGAGGTTCTGTGGTAGTGGTAGTTGGGGTTGTGGTCATTGTGGGTGTAGAAGGGGTCTCGGTGGTGGTGGGTGTCATTCTTGTGGTGGTTGTTGTGGGGGGTGTTTCTGTGGTAGTGATTGATGTGGTTTTCTTGGTTGTGGTACTTGGCAGTGTCTCAGAAGTGGTGATTGTTGTCATTGTTGTCAATGTGGTAATGGTAGTGGTCTCAGTAGTGGATGTTGGGCTTGTGGTGGATGTGGCAGTAGGTGGTGAGGTCGTGGTTGTTGGTGTTGGGTTGGGTGTGGTAGTTGGCATGGTCTCCCTGGTGGTGGTTGTCAGTGTTGTTGTGGATGTGGTAGTGGGAAGAGTTTCAGTGGTAGTGGTAGTTGGGGTTGTGGTCATTGTGGTCATGGAAGGGGTCTCTGTGGTCGTGGTGGTCATTCTTCTGGTAGTTGTTGTTGTGGGAGATATTTCTGTGGTAGTGAGTGTTGTGGTTTTGGTGGATGTGATAGTAGGCAGGATCTCAGTAGCAGTGGTTGTGCTCATTGTTGGGGATGTGCTAGTGGTAGTGGTCTCAGTAGTAGTTGTTGCACTAGTGTCAGATGTGGTAGTAGGAGTGGAGGTAGTGTTTGTTGGCGTTGTGTTGGATGATATGTTGGGTGTGCTCTCTGTGGTAGTGGTTGTCAGTGTTTTGGTGTATGTTGTGGTATTGTGGGAAGGTTCTGTGGTAGTGGTAGTTGGAGTTGTGGTCGATGTGGTTGTGGAAGGGGTCTCTGTGGTGGTGGTTATCCGAGTTGTGGTGGTTGTTGTGGGAGTGGTTTTTGTGGGAGTGGTTTTTGGTGTTGTGGTGGCTGTTGTAGTAGGCAGGGTCTCAGTAGTGGTGATTGTTGTCATTGTTGTGGATGTGGTAGTGGTCTCAGTAGTGGTTGTTGTTGTGTTTGTGCTGGATGTGGTAGTAGGCGTGGAGGTAGTGGTTATTGGTGACGTGTTGGGAGCGGTAGTGGATGTAGTATCTGTGGTGATGGTTGTCAGTATTGTGGTGTATGTTGTGGGAGTGGAAGGAGGTTCTGTTGTAGTGGTAGTTGGGGTTGTGGTAAATTTGGTGGTGGAAGTGGTCTCCATAGGTATCATTGTCAAATTTGTGGTGATAGTTGTCATGGATAGCAATTCTGTGGTAGTGGTAATTGAGGTTGTGGTGGATGTGGTAGTTGGTGGGGTCTCAGTAGTAGTGATTGTTGTGGCTGTGGTGGATGTGGTAGTGGAAGGAGAGGTACTGCTTGTTGGTATTGTGTTGGATGTGGTGATAGGCATGGTCTCTGTGGAGTTTGTTGTCAGTGTTGTGATGGATGTCGTGGTTGGATTAGAAGTAGTTTCTGTAATAGTGGTAGTTGGGATTGTGGTGTATGTGGTAGTGGGTATGGTCTCTGTAGAGGTGGTTATCAGTGTTGTGGTGGTAATGGTTGTGGGTGGGGATTCTGTGGTGGTAGTAGTAGAGCTTGTGATGGATGTGGCAGTGGGAAGGGTCTCTGTGGTTGTCAGTGTTGTGGTGGATGTTGTTGTGGGAGGGGTTTTCATGGTTGTCATTGTTGTGGATATTGTAGTGGGGGTGGTCTCAGTAGTGGTGGTGGTTGTATTTGAGGTGAATGTGGTAGTTGCACTGGATGTAGTGGTTGTGTGTGTCGTGGTGGATGTGGCAGTAGGTGGGGTCTCTGTGGTGGCAGGTGTCAGTGTTGTGGTGTATGTTATTGTGGGAGGGGATTCCATGGTAGTGGCAGCTGTGGGAGTGGTGGTTGTGGTTGTGGGTGGGTTCTCAATAGCGGTGGTGGTTGTCATTGTTGTGGATTTTTTAGTGGGTGTGGTCTCAGTAGTCCTGGTGTTTGTAGTTGTGCTGGATGTGGTAGTGTGAGGGGAAGTAGTGGTTGTTGGGGTTGTGTTGGATGTGGTAATATGCGAGGTCTCCATGGTAGTGGTAGTCAGTATTGTGGTGAATGTTTTTGTGGAAGTTAGAGTGGGTTGTGTGGTTGTGGTAGTAGGTGGGGTCTCAGTAGTGGTGGTTGTCGGTGTTGTGGTGGATATTGTTGTAGGATGCAAGGTAGTTGTTGGTGTTGATTTGGTAGTGGTTGTGGACATGGTCTCTGTGGTGGTGTTTGTCAGTGTTGTGTGTGTTGTGGTAGTGGGAGGAGGTTCTGTGGTAGTAGTAGTTGGGGCTGTGGTCACTGTGGGTGTGGAAGGGGTTTCGGTGGTGGTGGTTGTCACCCTTGTGGTGGTGGTTGTTGTGGGGGGTGTTTCTTTGCTAGTGATTGATGTCGTTTTCATGGATGTGGTACTTGGCAGGGTTTCAGTAGTGGTGATTGTCATTGTTGTCAATGTGGTAATGGTAGTGGTCTCAGTAGTGGATGTTGGCCTTGTGGTAGATGTGGTAGTAGGAGGTGAGGCAGTGGTTGTTGTTGTTGTGCTGGAAGTGGTAGTGGGCATGGTCTCTATGGTGGTCGTTGTCAGTGTTGTGGTGAATGATGTGGTAGTGTGGGGTTTTTCTGTGGTAGTGGTAGTTGGGGTTGTGGTCAATGTGGTTGTGGACTGGGTCTCCGTGGTGGTAGTTGTCAGTGTTGCGGTGTTTGTTATTGTTGTGGGAGGGCTTTCTGTGGTAGTGGTTGTTGGTGTTGTGGTGGATGTTTTAGTAGGCATGGTCTCCGTAGTGGTGAGTGTTGTTATTGTTGTGGATGTGTTCATGGTAATGGTCTCAGTAGTGGTTGCTGTGTTTGTGGTGGGTGTGGTAGTAGGAGGGGAGGTAGTGGTTATTGGTTTCGTGTTCGAAATGGTAGTGGGTGTGGTGTGTGTGGTGGTGGATGTCAGTGTTGTGGTGTATGTTGTGGTAGCGGGGGGAGGTTCATTGGTTGTTGTAGTTGGGGTTGTGGTAGATTTGGTGGTGGAAGGGGTCTCCGTATGTGTCGTTGTTGATTTTGTGGTGGTAGTTGTTGTGGATGGGGATTCTGTGGCAGTGGTAATTGAAGTTGTGGTGGATGTGGTAGTTGGTGGGGTCTCAGTAGTGGTGATTGTTGTGGCTATGGTGGATATGGTAGTGGAAGTGGAAGTAGTGGTTGTTGGTATTGTTTTGGATGTGGTAGTGGGCATGGTCTCTGTGGAGATTGTTGTCAGTATTGTGGTGGATGTTGTGGTTGGATTAGATGTGGTTTCTGTAATAGTGGTAGTTGGGATTGTGGTGTATGTGGTAGTGGGTGTGGTCTCTGTAGAAGTGGTTGTCAGTGTTGTGGTGGTAATGTTCGTGGTTGGGGGTTCTGTGGTGGTAGTAGTTGAGCTTGTGATGGATGTTTCAGTGGGAAGGGTCTCTGTCATTGTCACTGTTGCGGTGGATGTAGTGGGAGGGGTTTTCATGGTTGTCGTTGTTGTGGATGTTGTAGTGGGTGTGGTCTCAGTAGTAGTGGTGTTTGTAGTTGTGGTGGATGTGGTAGTGTGAGCGGAGGTAGTGGTTGTTGGTGTTGTAGTGTATGTTGTAGTAGGCAGGGTCTCCATGTTAGTGGTTCTCAGTATTGTGGTGGATGATGTTGTAGAAGTTGGAGTGAGTTGTGTGGTAGTGGTAGTTGGTATCATGGTGGATGTGGTAGTAGGTGGGGTCTCAGTAGTGGTGGTTGTCAGTGTTGTGGTGGATATTGTTGTAGGACACGAGGTAGTGGTTGTTGGTGTTGTGTTGGAGGTGGTAGTGTGTGTGGTCTCTGTGGTGGTGGTTGTCAGTGTTGTGGTGGATGTGGTAGTGGGAAGTGTTTCTGTGGTAGTGTTACATGGGGTTGTGGTTATTGTGGTCATGGAAGAATTGTCTGTGAAGATGGTGGTCATACTTGTGGTGGTGGTTGTTGTGGGAGATGTTTCTGTGGTAGTGATTTTTGTGGTTTTGGTGGATGTAGTAGTAGGCAGGGTCTCAGTAGTGGTCATTGTTGTTATTGTTGTGGATGTGGTGGTGCTGATGGTCTCAGTAGTGGTTTTTGCACTTGTGTTGGATGTGGTAGCAGGAGGGGAGGTAGTGGTTGTTAGTACTATGTTGGATGTGGTAGTGGGCATGGTCTGTGTGGTGGTTGTTGTCAGAGTTGTGGTGGATGTTGTTGTTGGAGTAGAAGTGGTTTCTGTAACAGTGGTAGTAGGGATTGTGGTGTATGTAGTAGTTTCTGTGGTCTCTGTAGAAG